AAGTTATTAGCCAATTTCAAAGCAGGAATGCAAAGAATCCAGAATATGAAAGGCCCTAGGGGTTCATTCTGCAACTGATTTACATTTTTGAAAGAAATGTGGGAGGTTGAAGAGCAAGGTGGTCTGAGGAGGTGGAAGGTGTCACACCCACCTTTACCTCCTACAGGTGTTTCCCAATGTCCTCCTGCCTGTTTTTTTAACAGGAGGTCATTTCACTGAGACCATTTGAGTGGATTTTTCTTCCCTATAACTGAAGAGCCTGAACTAGCCCAAAGGATCCAGTCAGATAAGAGCAATGAACCCACAAAAGCCAAACCCACTGCCCCTGACTCGATTCTGACTCCTGGCAACCCCGTCCGAGCTCCACAGGGTGCCCTTAGCTGTAGCCTTTACAGAAACATATTGCCAGGCCACTCGTCCTCAGACTGGACCGCCAACGTTTAGATTAGCAGAGATGAAAGCACCTTGCAGCTTGTTAAACACTAAATACATGTTAGGTATTCTTACTGCATTCATTTAACGATATCCTCGGTTCTGTCCCATTCCATAATGTGGTGTCGAAATAAGATTATGTTTTTTATGGGAAACCAGGAAGTCATGACCCACAGCTTCAGGACAGTCCCCTTTGGCTGTTGATGATGCTGTCATTGCCAGTGGACACAGCCCACAGCAGGGAAGGGTGAGCGGGCTGCCAGGGTGCAATGACAGGGAATTTCTTTGGGAACTTGGCCTGGAGAGAGAGGATTGCCTCCAAAGAGGCACCAACCCAAACCAAACCCATCAGGTCAGTTCTGACTCACAACTCCAAGTGTCACAGAGTAGAAATGCTTTCAGGGGCTTTTCTTGGCTGTGATTCTTACAGAAACAGGTCACCAGGCCTTTCTTCCAGGGTGCCACCAGGTGGGTTTGAACTGCTAACATTTCAGTTACCACCCTGTTCACACTACTCAGGGACTTCAAGGAAGCACAGAAGGAAAAAAGGTCAATGCCACCCTGGTTTACTCTCAACCTCTCTACACTCCCATTTTCTTCCCTGTAAACTGGTAAATAGCAATGGCACCTACCTCAGAGAGTTGCTGTGGTGAGTCAGTGGTTACATTTAGCACTGTGCCAGGTAAGGGCCCTATACGTGCACAGTAACAAGAGTGGACATGCATAAACTCCTGCCATTTCTGCTCACACTATGAGTGAGCTGACTGCATTTAAGTTCATTTAAGTGGGCCATTCTGCTGGCCGGGAAAAGTAGGACACGCGTTTGGGGACATGGATCAGGCAGCAGCCAAGAGCTGAGATGCAGGCCCTTCTCTCCCCCTGTCCCACTTCTCTGAGAAGAATCAAGCTTCTAGTAATTGAGAGCCTACTATGTGCCAGACCCTGGATAAGTACACTATGTACATCATCTGATTTAAACCTCACAATAACCTTGCAAGGTGGGCTGTTTAAGGGTGGTGGTCATAACACTTAACCAATACCAGCAACCAGACTGGTGCAAACAGTTTGCTCTCAGCTACTAACTAAAGGTTGGTGGTTCAAACTCACCCAGTGGCACCACGAACAAAGGGCCTGGGAATCTCCTTCCATAAAAATTATAGCCCACAAAACACTATGGAGCAGTTCTCCCCATAACACATATGGGAATCAACTCAGTAGCAGAGGGTCTTTTGCTCTGATGAGCCATCAGCCAGGCACAGGGCTGCAGGAGGGCCCTGCAGTGCCAGCAGAGGTACAGGCAGCGACCCTTTAGTTGCTGGATCACAGGACACACAGAGTGGTTCCGAAAGAAGGGCTGACCATCTGGAAGCGTTAGGAAGACACAAGATCATGGCTACTTCCCAGCTGTACTGCATACATTCCGTGGCATGTCTGACGGACACTGGTTGAGAGCGTTCCTAACCCACTGTAAACATAAGGAAACTGAGGCTCTGTGTGGTCATATGACTTGTAAGTGGCAAAGCTGGCTTTGTTTTGGCCCCACCTCCAAAGTGATCTTGACCCTCAACCACCTTTAATTTGTGCAACGCTTCCTATTTTTCTTTCTGTAGTTGTGTATGTATTTATTTCTCAATGTGAGATACACTTTAGTGTAAGTGTCAGAATAGGTATTAGTATCAGACCCACTCCGCAGATGCAGAAACAGAGGTGCAGAGGATTACGCTATAGGTAAGACACATGGTAGAGAAGGAAGAGGCACGGCTGGGAGCCAAGTCTTCTGATGTCCAGAACCCCATAAGATAAGGAGGTCAGTACCTTTCTTGGCTTGTTTTTTGGTGGTCTTGCGGCTTGTGTTGGAAACCCCTGGGATGGATTTTATTTCACTCTTGCTGACGGGGGGTGGGTGCAGGACCAGCTTTGGTGGCCTGGTGAGACACACAGGCAGCCCCGCTGCACTCATGAGGATCCCAGTGATTCCTGGAAGGGCAGGGAACGGTAAGGAGGGGCTGAAAGAGTAGCTCCCAATGCTCCCCAATTGCCTCTCTCCCCCTGAACCACTGTCCTTTCCAGAAGAGGGCGCTATCTCATGGGTTGGCTGTCCCCTAAGTTCCCACACTGTATCATGCTTTGTTTTCAATTCATCCATTTATTCATCCATTCTTCGTGCCCTCCCAAGGAAACTCATGACACAATTCTCTCACCTTTACAAATTCTCCTTACTTTGTTAATTTACTTCATTTTCAGTTTTCTCTCTTAACTTAGTCCAGCCCACGATTTGGTTTCTCTTACCTGCCAACGCAGGGTTGACAGGACTGGACCCGTTCAAGTTCTTCACTGGGACGGTGGGGACCCTGTGCAAGGAATGAGCAGATATGTTATGGTTTTGACAAGCAGGACAAAGTGGGCCAGTATTGGGCCCCAAAACTTCACCAATGGATGGTCTGCCCTTTCTTACAGAAACTACTTAAACTACTAAAGAAGCAATAAATTCTTAACACAGCAGCCAGAGGAGATATGTTCAAAACGTTAGCTGGACCATGTTACTTCTGCATTCAGAACCCTGCAATGGCTCCCTGGTTCATTCAGAGTCAAAGTCAAAGTCCTGGCAAGGCCTACGTGGCCTTACATGATCTGCCAACATCCATCCCCATCCCCTCATCTCTCCGGCTTCCTCTCATAACCCCCGACTCTTCACTGTGCTCTAGCTCATCCTCCTACACACCAGGCATGCTCCTGCCTCAGAGCCTTTGCATATGCTGCTCCCTCTGCCTGGAATGCTCTTCCACCAGACATCTGCTTGGCTCCTTCCCTTAACTCCTCTAGGCTTTGCTCAAATCTTACCTTCCCAATGGGATTTTCTCTGGCCACTCTATTTAATCCTGCTACCCACCACTCAGGGAGTCCCTGGGTGACACAGTTAAGCACTTGACTACCGACCAAAAAGTTGGTGGTTCTAACCCCACCAAAGGTACCGCAGAAGAAAGGCCTAGGAATCTGCTTCCAAAAGTCCACAGCCATGAGAAGCCTGCGGGTACAGTTCCACTTTGCAGCAATGGGGTTGCCAGGAGCAGGCATCAACTTGATGGTAACTGTCTAGTCTTGTTTCATTTTTTAAACCCACGGCTCCGTGCCACTCTGGGGCTCCCAAACCCTGCACCTGCTCTAGTTTTGTCTTTTTTCCCATGCTCTTCTAACCAAGGCTGTTGCTTATTATCTCCCCATCTAGAATGTCAGCTCTATGAGGCCAGACTTCTTTGTTTAGTTCAGAGCTCGCACTACCAGGCACGTGATAAATACTTGCTGAGTGAATGAAAAAGTAATAAGCAGATTCAAACCTGGGTGTAAAAAAGAGCCACCTAAAAAACCCAGAACCAAACCCACAGCCATCGAGTGGATACTGACTCATAATGACCTTAGAGGACAGAGAAGAGCTGCCCCATAGGGTTTCTGAGGCTGCAATCTATACTGAAACAGTTTGTAAATTCTTTCTGCCACAGAGCAGTTGATAGGTTTGAACTGTCAAGCTTCCAGTTAGCAGCCAAATGCTTTAACCACTGTGCCACCAGAGCTCCTTAAGAACCACCTAAAGCATAGTGGCTAAAGCACTTGACTGCTAACCAGAAGGCTGGCGGTTCAAACCCACCAGCCACTCCTCGGAAGGAAGGTTGGGCAATCCTACTTCCGTAGTGATACTGCCTCGGAAACCCAAGGAGGGGTCGCTATGAGTCGGGGCCGACTCGACGGCACATAACAACAACAACAACAACAAAGCCCGAGTCAGAACCCCCACTGGCAGGCCCAGGAATCTCCCAAGAGGACACAGAGGCATCCAGATTCCCGTCCAGCATTTGGAAGCCATTGCTCTCACAGCTGCTACTTCTCCTTTTCCCTGAGAAATGTAAACAGCACGAAGAGCCTCCCCCATATCTGCCCTCGGCCCAGCAACCGGAGAGGCTCCCTGGAGGAAGTCAGCACAGCTGCCTAGGAAGGCAAGGCCTCCCACAGAGCCAAGCAGAAAAACGCGGGGCCCTGGGGACGGGTCTCGCACCATCCCCTGCACCACCCCACTTCCTCAGCTGGGCTTGGAGTGGGGAGGCAGGTGTAGAGACCAAAGTCACTGGTGACTCTGGGAGCCAGACAGCCCGAGAAGGCAGTTCAGCCCCGGGGGTGAGCCCGTGCTGTGGAAAGTGTGTATTTGGTTATGACCTGCTTAGTGTGCACTCAGGAAATGTTCATTGAGCTGGACCTTATGTGGGGCACAATTATGAACAAGACACAGTCCGTGGAGGACATCAAGCTCAACTGGCATAACACAGTACACAAAAACATTGCTCTCCAGCCCACTTTGGTAAGTAGGGACTGGGGTCTTAAAAGCTTGTAAGCAGCCATCTAAGATGCAACTATTAGTCTTTCCTTGTCCAGAGCAAAGGAGAGTGAAGAAAATCAAAGATGTATGGAAACAATTAGTCCAAGGAACCAATGGACCACAGGAACTTCAGCCTACACCACCTTGAGACCAGAAGAACAAGATGGTGCTCAGCTACCACTGCTAACCACTCAGAAATGGAGATCTTGGGTAAGGTGGGAGAAAAAATGTGGAACCAAATTCAAAATCATATAAAAGACCAGGATTACTGGTCTGGGAGAGACTGGTGAAACCCCCAAGACTATAGCCCCAAGTCACCGTTTGGGTCTGGAATTGGACTCACTCCTGTGGCTAACTTTCAGCCAAACAACAGAAAGGCCAACAAGCTGAACAACTGCACCTCCAGGGAGATGCTCTCCTTCAAACAATCAACCATGGGAGATCAGAAGTGCAGCATTTGTACAGGAGAAAGCTAAGGAGGCAAGAACACATAGGAAAGGACACAAGGAAAGGGTAACCACAGGGAGGAGGTAAGAGGAGAGCTGTTACACTGTGGGGATGTAATCAGTGTTGTAAAACAGAATGTGTAGGAACTGTTGAACGTATTTGACCGCTAACCAGAAGGCTGGTGGTTCAAACCCACCAGCCACTCCTTAGAAGGAAGATTAGGCAACCTACTTCCTTAGTGATACTGCCTCAGAAACCCAAGGAGGGGTTGCTATGAGTTAGGTCCGACTCGACGGTAGTGAGTTTTTTCTTTTTTGGAAAATTGTACCCAAATCACAATAAAAACTTAAAAAAAATTAAAGACATGGCCCATGGACTTGAAGGCTTTCAACGTGTCAGGAATCCATATGTTATAATTGTTAACACATACAGCGCTCATCTCGTACCAGCCACAGTTGTTTCTACCCCTCACAACATAAATGGTATCTTCAAAGCCCACCAACAAACTATGTAATAGGCTCCATCATTTACCCCATTTTACCAGCGAGGAAGCTGAGGCACAGAGAGGTTAAGCAAACTTGGCCAAGGTCACACAGCTAGTGATCAGAACCCAGAAAATGTGGTTCCAGAGTCCATGCCTCAACCACCTACGATGCCAGCCTGCTTGCTTATCTGACATGACCCCTGAGACACCCCACACTGCAGACCAAGAATGTGAACCCACAAGTAGCAGAGGGGAGGGCTGGACCAGGAAGCCACATGGACCTCACTCTAGGAGACAGACATGGGACCTTGAGGCAGAGCAGGAGAGGCCTTGGTCTGTGACTTACATGCCCACAGGACTGGTGTTTCCCCACCTCTGTCCCCTCACTGAGGAGATGGCATGTGTGACAGCGCTGTGAGGAGGCTATGAAGTCCCAGATGTGAGTGTTTCTGTGTCCCAACAGGTCACCAAAAAACCACCAAACCAATTTCACTGCCATCGAGTTGAATCCAACTCATAGCGACCCCTCCTTGGATGAAAGGCAATATCTCTACGGAAGTAGATTGTCCAGTCTTCCTTCCGAGGAGTGGTGTGGGTTTGAACCGCCAGCCTTCTGGTTAGCAGTCAAATGCCTTAGGTCACCAGAGGGTGCTTTTCTCCAGCCAGGTGGGGCAGGGGAAAACTGAGTTCAAACCAAGGGAAATTGGGCCCAGAATAGGGGGACTGACTGGATTCTGGACTCTGTGAGTCTGTTCCCTACAGGGCCAGTCATGGGATGGGTAGACAGGGAGTCCCCAAAACCAGATTCTAGTCCTAGCTCTGGTAGCAAGTGGCTAAGGCACTTGACTGCTAACCAGAAGGCTGGCGGTTCAAACCCACCAGCCACTCCTCGGAAGGAAGAT